GCACACAGAATATCCGTGAACACTTGGGATTTTTAAATGTTCCAACCCTCAGTCCTTATCTGGAAGAAAAGGAATTAGAAACTGAACCTGCTAAAAAAATACCTTTGCCATTTAATGATGAGAGAGTAACTGAGCCTATAACAATTGAAAGGAAATACATAAGCTCTCCAGTCACAGTTATAGAGCAAGAGGAAGAGTTGGTGCAAAACATTTTCCCTACGAAAGATATTCCCAGAACATTCCTGACACCTAAGGAAGAAAATCTGCCAAATAACGAGCTCATTGGTGATCCCCTGTTTTCAGGACAGGGGTCAGGAGATGACCTTGCTGTTCTTCCATCTGTAGTGCCATTTGTTGTCCAAAAAATCAAGAGTACCTCAAGTCCTGAAATTTCTCACCCTGCAGATATGGGGCCTGAACTTTCCACTGACATGACACAAGACTTTGAGCGAGGAACCACTCCAGCAAGTGCCGAAGTTAATGAAGAAGTCACAAGTGCTGTAGCTGAGCTGCTGCCGGAAACTGGAGACCCATTCCCCACCTCCATGTTCCCCAGTTCCTCAGCTTTAGAAGAAGACAGCTCCAAGATCTTCGTCTCTAAAGAGATTGAAGACACCACACATTATTTTGTTGCGAATGAAGAACCACAGGAAAAGGAGACTGACTCTAGGAGAGGGGAAAATGAAACAGATAAGCCAACACCCACTTCTGAAGCTATTTCTCAAGAGGAAAATTCACATTTTCTGATTAAAGGTGGCACAACTCCTATATCTGTTATACTGAATGGAACTCCCAGTCCTGAAACAGAGGAATCTTTTGTAACATCAACAACAAAAACACCAGGCAGAGTATTACCTGAGGGCTCTGGGGAAGGATCTGGCTGGGTTGGTGCTTCAGATTCATCTTCCCCTGATATTTTTACCCATTTCTCAATACCCACTGCATCCAAAGTAGAACTAAATGTTTCATCCAGTGTTCCTGGACGTCTTTATCCCAAAGTTATGACCACAGAGGCACCGAGAGATGGGTCACAGACTGCAATCACAGGACTAGTCTCCCTCTTTACAGAAGAAACAGAGGTTTTGGCAAATCCATCTGCTGCTCATCCAAAGACAGCTTCATCAGAGGAACTAACAAGTGACACTGGGTTATATGAAAAAATTATTCCCATGATTGATGACAAAAGAAGTGTTATATTGAACATTTCTGTTTATGGTGACATTACCCTGATTGAAGAACGACTACAAGCCCCACCAGAAGAAACAACTATTATAGACATGGATCACTCTAAATCAATGCCTGAGGATATAATAAGTGTGCAAACAATGCCAAATCCTGTTACACAGTCAACATATGGCTATGATGATAGCATGACAGTTGAAGGAGAGAAATATTATTCCACTCCCAGGTTTTCCATAGCCAAAGAAAAGACACTTGGATCTGGTGATAATCTTTCTCTGACTACTTCCAGTCCACCAAGTAGAGAGTTGGTGACTTATGGGCACCAACCAACCTCAGGTGACATGGATTTGGGTTCAGGCAATGACATGAATTTTGCAACAGAAACTCTTACCACCATGGAACTCTCTGAAATGGGCATTCTCCTTCCTACAGTGCCATCTCTGGCAAGCCCTCAAGTGCCTCATGAGTCTAAACCTGTTGCAACGAGCCCCACAGAAGACACCTATGAGCCAAGTACTTCAGCGAACAACCGAGTAATAGCAGATCAAAGTGAAACAATCTCTGGCTTTTCTGGGATGGGCCAAGAAGAGCTGGCTGATAATCAGCCCATGGTTCCTTCCCTTACACCACTTGTAACTGATGAGCCAGAAAAGGCTTTGACAACTGGCAAGCTTGAGTTGAGTGTTGTCACCGCACAGCCTACATCCCACCTGACAACTGTGTCACCTACCAAGGGTGCAGGGAATCGTCCCACGGTGTACACCAAGACAAAATCAGCATCAGCAGAGTATGAGGAAGCAGATACAGTGAGTTTTTATTCTGTTCCTCAAACTCCTAAATCCTCAGTAACTGTTCATTTAGTAAACGGAGTATCTGAGTACCCTGAGGTAATCATTACAAGCACATCATCATCATCATCATCATCAAGGGATTCGCATCAGTCCAATCATTCATCAGGAGGAATCTTCAAAGAGGTTAGTTCTGATATTACAGCAACATATAAACCACCCACTACTGACTTTCTTGACACAACAGAGTCCTCTCTGCTGGAACTTTCTCCTGAGCCTCTTTCAGACAGCACAAGCACGGAAAGCACTCCTCAGTTTGGTAGGCTTCTAACAGGTGGGACAGAGGAGACAGAAACCCCTGCAACTGATTTAGCTGGTGTGGAAGAAGCTGCTGTTTCTGGAGATTCTCCATCAATACATGTCTTGCCTACTGCTTTTCTGAATTTTGGAGAAAGAGTAAGCACAGATATTCCAAAAGTCAGCACAACAGAAGTCGAAGCCTCCTTAGGGAGAGTCAATAATCCTCGCCAAGAGGCGGACAGGACTACTGAGAGACAGGACCCCTGGCTCCTGCCCACAACTGTTTCAGACTCACCCAACAGCATCGAAAACAAAGGATTTAAACCTGGCCAGGAAGCAGTTACAATGCTAACCTCACCTTCCCAGCTTTTGGATGGAGGCACAGAAACACAGGCGGCTTTGTTTGGTCAGGGGGAGATCACAACCATCTCTTCTAACATTGCAATAAACAGTACTGCCCCTGGAAACAGTCCCTACCTAAACGAGCCATCAACAATGAGCTCTGAGGAGCCAAACACTGTGGAAGCTGTGACTTCATCATTTTCCCTTCCGGAAGTCACAAACGGATCAGATTTCGTGATTGGCACCAGTGTGGGTTCTGTTGAAGGCACAGCAGTGCAAATTCCAGGTAACTTCCCAAATATGATCCCTGTCGTGTTATGTGTGTTGTGGTACTTGTGAAGGTGTTGCCTGGGCTCTGGTGAGAGGTGTGACAATCAGAGCTCCGCGTGAAATGACAACGGACCTCGTCACCCTCCACCTGGGAAATCAGCCTGGTTGTGGCCCCTACAAGTGGAAGAGGATGGGGGGGGTGCCAAAACACCCAAGCCCCATGACTTTCCACTGGTGTTTGCATCGTGGAGCTCTGGATCAGACTGGAGGTAACCAGCCAGTTTTAAAAGACAGGAAGGTAACATTGGTTGTGGAAGGGAAATCAGCTGGGGTGACTTCATTTGCCAATTTCCAGCAGATGATTTTATGTGATGTTTTTTCTTGTGAGCATGGTGATAGTTCTTACACATTTGGTTTCTATGAAGGGTTGTTTTTAACATCTTGCAGTTGACTTAGAAAGCAATAGTGCAAATTTTAGGATCAGAATTCTCTATAAAATTGAACTTCTCTTGACCTACAAGATAGCTTTCAACACAAGAGAAAACCAAGACCTTCTTTTCAGCCTGTCTGTAGCTTTAAGTGGTTGATGCACTGTCAGTCTCTTAAAAATTACAGAACTTTTTGTTAGACATCATTTGCCACAGTATTTTCTTTCCATTATAGTATAGGGAACCATTTCATCAAATGTGTGGATGATGTCAGTAGTATCACTTTAATACATATTTTGTCTAGTTATACCTGAGGAAAGAACTGGTCTGGTCTGATTTTATAGGTTTACTATTATTGTTCCTCAAATAATCCAGGTAGCTGGCAATTTAAAAATGTTTACTGAAATATCCAGTCTGTAGAAGGATAAATAGACAGCAAACACAAAAACCACCATTAAGGTGCTTAACAGAGCCCTACATTTGTGACTTTCAGTGAATCAGTCCTAAAACAATCACTCTATTGAATGGGTTGGGTCAGAGCCTTTCCAAAACCTCCAAAGTGAAAACCTTAATTACTTAATTAGAATACTAAACTTTTGCATATAGGATTTTCTTCTGGGGGCTTTCAGCTGGACCTTCTTCATTCCCATGCCTAGACAGGGAACTTGGCACTGTAAGAAGACTTTTCAGCTCTAATTTGCAAATGTGACATACATATTCTTTTTTTTTTTTTTTTTGGTCATAAATCCTAGTCAGATTGTTTTGGGAAAACATGACCAAAAAAATCTTAATGTTTCTTATGCCTCTGATTTACAGAACTCTTTTATCCATTTTGTAAGTTTTCAAAGCCAGGGCTTTATTTTTTCATATCAGAAGGGCTGTCTTCAGGATTTCCCTCTCACTGTGAGAAACTAACTCTTAGAAATGGTTTAGTGTGGACTTGTCTGTGTGAGTGAGTGCTCCTAGGCATGAAATCAAATGCAAATGCCCAGGTATCTAAACTCAGTGGAAATAAACATCACTGGAAGGCGTAAAGCTCTTCAAGGAAATGGTATTTAAACACTAACTCCTGTAACAACTGAGGATTTCACAGCAGGTAAGTTTTTATCTTTATGTTCAGTCCAGAGTCAAACATATTCAGAGCCTTTGTTTGTATTCTTTAAATGTATTTTTAAGAAAGGCAGGTGGGTAGCACACATGTGACAAAAGAAATAAGACTTTGTGGGGTTTGATTGCGTATAAGCAACCAGTTAGTATGTTCTGTGTACCCTGTCATTCTGCATAAACTAACCCTGTTCAAGAAAAAAGCATTTTCCATTCATTTTGCATATGTTTAACTGTTTTCAGCTATAATTAATTGTCATGTCATGCAAACTAAATCCTCAACAGAGTATCATGACTGCCAAATATAGTACAAATTGCTGTGGAAAAAAAGTAATTCCAAGAGTAATTTATGTTGTTCATAGTAAATGCCATATTGTTGTGCAAGTTGAAAGCAGTGATGCCTGAAGACCAGCTTTACTGTTTTATAAATCTTATTTTGAGTAGTTGAGTATGTTAATAGTTTTTGTAGCTACAGTAAAGACAATGCAGCAATGAAGAAAGATATTTTTTTCCTTCTGAAAATCAAAAATGCACCAAAAATTTCCTTGAAACCAGGGTCAAATTCCTTTTCCTACTTGTTCAACAGGCCAAGATCCATGCAAGAGCAGCCCCTGCCTCAACGGTGGTACCTGCTACCCACGTGGTTCCTTCTACATCTGTACCTGCCTGCCAGGTTTCAGCGGGGAGCAGTGTGAATTAGGTAAACTGTGCTATCTGGCTGCTGATTAACTCGAGTTTAAAGCTCTTGTACATGAGATCTGGTGTGCTTTAAAGTTGGAGGCTGCATGGACGCCTGAAAAATCCTACACCGAGGCCTTACTTTGGGACAATTAAATAGAGAGTTCCCCATTGTCTCTCCTCTTTTCCCTCTCCCCAAAAAGTGCATGGATTTGTGCCCACACACAGGGGTTAAGAGAACTGTAAATGAACTTCACGAACTGGATTATACAGCATTGAATTCAAAAACGCACCAAATTAAAAAAATATATACATTAATATTTGGTATACTTCCCTAAGAGCTTCCCATAGTTATTTGAAAGGCTGGTAAGATAAAATATTCCAAAATGTGAATGGGAAGCTGGCAACTGAACACAAACTTGAAAACTTTTGCAGGAAATTTTAGATATTATCATAATTATATGCATCTTTGGTACAAATTAGTATTTTGGTAACAATTTCAGCTGAGGAACCTCTTCCAGTTGCCTGTGAAATCTCTGCACCTCCTGAAACTGTAGATTTCAAAATACTCACCTATGTGTTTCAGAATAACCAATTTTCCTTCCAGAAAGCCAGCCAAAGTATCATTAAATGACTGGAACAAGTAAGACCTAGCATAAAATTTGACCTGAGCATATTTTAAAATATACATATTTTAAGCCTTTTACATGATGCAGCAATTATTCCTAGTTGTTTGTTTGTCTGTAGATATGTCCAGCTTCTGTCTTATATTTTAATGAGTGAACCACAACCAGCAGGTCGTTTTTGAATGGAGATGTTTGCAAAAATCTCTGTTGAAGTTTACACTATCATTGTTTCAGAGGAAAAGCATCCATTAGGAAATTTCAAATAATCTTTATGAAGAGACACACTAGCTTATAACCTGTGCAAAAGCAACCTGTGGTGAAAATAATTATATAAAATGAAGTTGTGCTCCAATTTAGAAGGTGAAGACAAGGTATTTTAGCAGCTAGAGGAGTCAGGGACAGACACATTATTTGTTTACTGTGCAAATCCATGAGTGCTATGATGTTTCGTCCTTATCTTGATAAGATTAGACAAGAAAGAAATGAGAAATGCAAACCAAGGAGATTCCAGAGCAGACTGAAATTAGCAGTCTGTTTAATGCTACATGATAAGATTTCCAATATTTGAGTTTCGTGAAGATATTCACGTCCCTGGTGGTTAATGGGAATTTTAGTTGTGCCAGGGTCACACACACACAAATCAGATTTTCCACCAGGAGAAGGCTGCATGGCATTCCTCTTTCTCATCCACACAGCCACCAATGGGACCTTTTGCAATACTTCCTCCTTCTGCTCAGAACTGGTCCCAGTCACCAGCCTGACTGAGGCTGCAGAGCATTTCCTCCTGGGAGTTGGGTGGGTGATGAAACCACTTTTATTTTCTGCTGCAGATATCGATGAGTGCCAGTCCAACCCGTGCCGGAACGGAGCCACGTGCATCGACAGCCTCAACACCTTCACCTGCCTGTGCCTGCCCAGCTACATCGGGGCTCTCTGTGAGCAAGGTAAGGGCTGTTCCCTCACCTCTGCTGCTGGACACTCATTTCCAGCCCAAAATCCTTCTGGGATAACAGGGCAAGGCCTCCTAAAAATGAGAAGGTGGAAGAAACCAACAAAAATCTGCAGGAAGCCACTTGTGGTGAGGAGAGCTCCTAATTTTTGTTAGATTTCCCTGACTTGTGGTTCAGGGTTTTTTACCATCTCTCACTTTGCACAATCCACATGCTAACCTGAGTGGAAGCCATGTACAAAATATAAACTGATATATGGGGCAATTTCTGTGTCAAAACATCGGCTTTTCAGCAACAGTTTTCAGGTGGCTCCAAGCCTGCTTGCTTATGCTGCTGTAAACTGCTGGGAAGACACATAACGAGGCTCTCTCATTACTGTAGTGAACCTTAATGAGCGGGAGCAGTGTTACTTTGTGGCTGAGTTTTTCTCTTAAAAAATTACATGTGGTGTAACAGAATCCATCACCTCCAAAAAGCATCAGTGATATGTAGGAATAATTCAGTGAGTAAGACAGATTATATCTTCCTCCACTGGAGACCACAGGTTTGACTGCTTCATCCTACAATTTTCAAAATTATTTGTTCTGGGATTATTTTAGGAAAAGTAGGTGCTGGATTATCATTACTAGGAGATTGTAAAAGGCTTTCTAAGATGGACAATAAGATTGAAATAAGATTGAATATCCCAGTGCCTGTAGTTGTTAGAAACTTGCCTGCAAGAAACCCCACAGCATTTACAGGAAACATTTGCAGTACAAGATTCTTACTCAATATGTGGGAGGAGGAATAGGGCAGCAACATATGTTCTGTCAATAAAATTAATGAAGGCATTTCCGTGGGAAAAAGAAATTATGAAGAAATGATGCTTGCAAAACTTATGAAAATGTATTTTTCTTTTCCTTCAGCTGAATGATTTTTGTTACAGGTGAATGAACTAAAACTTTGGATTTGTTTAATTAATATTGTGTATTTTTGTTTTGTTTCTCAGCTTCAGCAAAGAGTGGTTTGCAAACTCTTCCAACTCAACCTGTAGAGATCAGTTTGTTAGAGATGAAAAATCTCAGAGCTGATCAACTCCAGCATTTTTACTGTTTAACCTTTTCAGCAGTCTGGTTAACCTTGTAACTTGAGAAGGCTTTCTGAATCTTGCCTCCCAAAGTAAAAATTGACAGAGTTTTCACACCAAAAGAAATAAATGTTCTCACTCCCTTCCTCCTCCCCTTCATTCCAGCAAATCCATAGCAGTGAGTGGCTCTGAGTGCCATGGTAGCTTTAAGCTGCTTTTTATGACCAACCTGAGAGTGCATTTTAGGTGGTTAATGGGAACATTTCCTAGTTTGTCAATCAGAACCAGAGCTGTGCTCTCTCAGCTTTGGAATTTAAATTTCCTCCACTTAAAGTCCTGCAGTGGTTTGGGACTTGGGAAAAGGTTTTAGTGCCAAATTTCCACTCCACCAGACAAAATAAAACTGTGTTGGCGATTCAGACATGGTTGTCTGGCAAGCAGGCTTTATTTCAAGGCATCAGTCCTGACCTCACTAGATTTAAAGACCAGCCAGGACGACAGAATATGCACCTTGGTGCCACAGGAAAGGTGGAGCTCAGCACACCGAGATTATATTTCATTACATTTTTTTTTTTTTTAATTTTCAAATATACTATTCATTTTAGACAGCTTAAAAAAAAAAATCAGGCTGAAGGGATTTCTTAGGCACAGTGCTGAGCATTCAAAATGCCGTGGGAGGAAATAGGGGCAGGGAGCATGCACTGCCTTTGGAAATGAAGCTCAGAGTAGGAGGTCACCACATCTGCACTCACTACACTGGTGCAGAAGGAAAAGCAGAGCTCAGAATTTCACCAAATGCCCATGTGGCACTGCTCTGGACTGAGGGATCTTCAACAGGGGTATCATGCTCGTGTCAGCATTTGGAGAGGACGCTACCAGGGGACAGCACAGCTGCACGCCAGGGAGCTCTGGCAGGTGGTGAAGTTACAGGAACCTTCTGGGTGATCTAATCCAGGCTGAGGAAAATCAGTCCTGAGACTCAGGGAACTGGAACTGGCTCCCTGACAGCCCTTCCTCTTGCCAGGTGGAAAGAGTTCAGCAATCTGAGCCCGGGAACATCTTCCGGAAGTTAGCTGAATTTGTCAGATGTTAGAAAAAGTGCAGCTGAAAGTTCCCTCAAAAGTTTGCCTTTAAACTAGATTGTTAGATCAGTTAAGACAGGATCACTTCTGGTGCAGGTGAGATTAAAAGGAACAATATCCTCTTTTGCCCACCACCTTTGTATCTTTTCAAAGGAAAGATGCATATTCTGCTTGTCACTTTTTGACATTTGAACATCGCCCCTGAGAAATTCATAAATATCCCCAGAACATTTTCCCAAAGAGTGACAGATTACAGTAAATCTTGGTGTGAGTTTTATTCTGGGAGAGCCATCAGTCTTTCCATTGTCATCCCTCTGTGAAAAGCCCCTATGACAACTCTCAGGAAATGGTAGAGACTTGCAATTTGAACCTCAATTTTAAGAGTGAGTTCTCTTTATGAGAACTGGGTGAACACCTTTGTGGATTTTCCTCTTCCTTCCTTGTCTGGCTTGAGTTTCCTTTTCTTTTTCTTCTTTTTCTACTCTAACTGGTGTCTACCTGCTCTCAAGGAATGCTTTAAGCCTAAGTGTGGCTTGCTTGCATCTGGACATGTGTGCAAAAATGGCACACGTGTGTTTGTAACAGAATGCGCCTACATGGGATAATTCAACCAGCTGCTCCCTTCCAGGTTCTGAAAACAAAACAACTGTGGGTTTTAACCACCCTATCAGGAGTCATGTGTTCTTATAAGCCAAGTTCATTGTTTCAATGTCTGTGATTACTCTGGTTTCATTTAATTCTCTTTGTTCCCAGGGCTTGGTTGGTTGGGGTTGAAGTAGTTGAAAAGGGCTCAGGGAAAAGGTACTTTCTGAAAACAGATGGTGTCTCACTGATGTCTATCAGCTGAAAAGGGATTATTTTGTATATTTACTAGAGAAATGGGTTTCTCCTCAAGATGTGTGGGTGAAGTGGTCTCCAGCATTTTCTCATTAGCTGAAGGCAGACAGCCACTGATAAAATTCACAGCTGAGTTAGACTCTCATGTTCTGGTACCTGTGTCAGTCTTTATTTCCTTTAAGCGTCTTCTGGAATTTCTTTAAAGACAATGGACCTATTGACAGCAGCATTGAAAAAACAGTCCCTATGTATCAAACCTACCGAGAACACTTTTTTAATATAGTGTTAAGAGATGTGGTTACACACGTTCAACTGCAGTTACAGAGAACAGAAGCTGTGAGTGTAACTCCTTGCACACACCACTGGAAACCCCTGTAAATTGTCATAAACCCTGGATGAGTTTTAAAACACCACAAATATGGTGAGCAGTATTTCAGTTTCAGTTTTTCCATCACATGCTGGAGTAAGGTTACACAAGTCTGTGACTGGGTACACAATGAACGTGAAATATTGCATTCAATAAGTGCTTGCACCTACTGTGCTCACTGTGGTTGGGTCAGAAAATTTACCTGCAATTAGTGTCTGCTGGTTCACTAAAGGCACTGAAAATTTATACCCATATGGAACCCTTTTACCTTTTTGTCACCCTTTTAGCTTTCATCATTGAATAAGGGCTGCACACTGAGCACAAAACTCTGCAAAGATGAAACTCTCCACAGTTTTACTTGCCTAGTTTGCATTTTTCATCCTCAACTATTTTGGATCTTCCTTTCCCTATATGTTTTTTCCCTCTTTTTGTCAACCTCTCCTGTAAAATTGCCGACAGCAACAAACATCAAAAGCAAAATCCCTCAAAAAAAAAACCAGAATCCCCAACCACTCCCCCAGCCCCAAACAAAAAAATCCTCTTTTCCAGCATCTGAAAACTTCATGTATTTTACAGCCATCAGTTCTGGTTTGTTTTGGGATTTTTTTTGGGTTTTTTTTAAGATTTGCAATACACACAGGTGCAGAAATTACTTAACTTTTCCCTTTTGTCCATGTTTGGCACCTTTTGCCTTGAGAAGAGAAATTGTGTGATGTTTTGTAAAAAGAGAAACTGTGCTGTAATTCATGCTCAGGCCATTATATCTAACTTAGTAAACTAAATTATCTAACTTAGTCCTCTCAGTTTTGTATTTTCAAGCCCCTTTGCCTCCCCAGTGTGACTTTCAGCAGACCTTCTCTGAAATCCTTCACTTCTTCCCTAGCAGAGACCAGTGAAGGTTTGGTTAGAATAGCCTGGAAATCCTCTCTGGCCACGTTTTTCTCAGCTCCTTGTTATTATCTGACTTGTTTCCTGTGGGACAAAGGAGTCCCTGAACAAGATAAATAATAAAATCTTAAGTGCCTTCACAAAGGACATAGGTCTGTTAGTCAGCCTTGTGTGGTTAAACAAATGTTCTAGAAAGCCCAAGGCAGACTAAACTTTAAAAATTACCTAGATGCCAGAGATTAAAGCTGTGTCTGCAGCCTGCACCTCACACAGAATACAAAGAGGGAAAAGATCAAAAAAACTAACAATTTGGTTATGTAGATTACATTCCTTTTTTCATAGCTTGGATGACTCAAGGCGCAAGCAGCTTTCTACAGTTCAGCTTCCTGGAAATAGAAGGGACATAGACTCCTATGACAGTGACTACATTATTACTGTCAGAGAAATTCTGATAAGCCTCTGACGTGGCTTTGCCACATTTTGTTTGCACTTTGAAATCCATTTATGTACATGTAAAATCTGGTTTGTGTAGGGGGGATTTAACCCCTTTTTTAAAAAAAAAAATAGATAATTTGGTGTGTCCAGATGGAAATGGCCTCTTCCTGCTGTGAATTAAGAAACTGTGCTGTGAAAAATTGTTTTATAGGTGGTGGTAGCAGCTCAAACATAAGTAATCCCTTAGTTAAGGTATTTGCAGCCATCAGCCCTTGGCATGTACTGCAATATTTGGCTGTTTCTGTACTCAGGCAAAAACCCTTTTTTAGCCAAAGAGTGTTATCGACCACTGACTGCACTGACTTACTGAAAATGAGGAACCCAGTTTCCAGCCCAGAACATCTCCATAACTCTAGAAAGGCTGGAACAGTTAGCTCCAGACCCCGTTTTGCTGATAAAATTTGGTGGGAAGTGGCTGATTCCTGGTGGGTGGGTGGGGTGGGGGAGGCCAGACCTTGTGTTTCTGTTCCTCAGCATCCTGAGGCCCCTCAGGGTGAGCCATCCCACGCTAGCTGTGATCGCTGTGGCTGAAATGTCCTTTATGGTGCCATTGCATCTGTCATGGCTCAAAACTCCCTGCCTTACCCCTGTTGTTTTCCCACTCCTCCCTAAAACTCCCTCTTATCACTGGCAGGTCCTTCCCATCCTTAAGCACAGCTCACACATCACACATTCAGACATCACACTTGTTTTTTCCATCTTATTAATGCTGATTTTTTTTTTTTTTTCCTGTGATTCACCCCTGCAGGAGCAAACTTGAAACTGAAACTCTTGGTGTTTTTTGCCATCTATTCTGTTTACAGCTGCCTAACCTTGACAGAATAATTAACGTCAAATCCATGGGTTGTTCCTGTTCCAAGGCTTGCCTTTATTTCTCTTTGAGCTGAAAGGATATAGTGGCTGATGTGAATCCTCTCTGTGATGCATTCTTATCAGCACCATGCCTCATGCAAGCACAGACAACGTGCAATTTTATTACTTTGTACTTCAGCTTTGCAATCCTCCTAACAAATTGATGCTTAAAGTTGACTTCATCAAGGAAGATGGGTTTTGGGGGAGGATTTGGAGGCATGAGCTCAGAAAGATAAAACTGGAGCTTTGCTTCTGCAGACTGAACAATCACAATCATTTCCCTTCATACAATTTTTAGTTATCAGTTTCTTCCAAACTTTAATTAGTACAGTGACTTGAAGTAGCATTTGTCCTTGCAAGTAAAAATTCCCATCCCCATGTACAGGCTCAGAAAACTAATGAAATGCACTTTCACTGCAGTCCAACATCCAGGCATTTTATCCATCCAGGAAGAATATATCCTCCTGAAATTGCCCAGATTCAGCTTAATTCAATCAGTGGAAACCCACAAAGTTTCCAATTGAAATTATATGTCTTAGATTACTAATAGTCTTGCAGTTTGTGCTGGAAATGGGTAAGCAGAACTACCTGAAAATGAGGTTCACATGATGAGTGTTTGATTTTCATACCTTGTCAGATACAGGTTTTTCTTGAAGCTTTGTCCCACAGAAAATCTATTGGTGTGCCTGGGTTTGATGCACTGATCAAACATGCCTGGTTTTGGTTGGTTGATCAAACATGCCTGGAGATGGTACATTGGCCAAATGTTCCTAGTTTTGGTGCACTGACCAAATGTGCCTGGTTTTGGTACATTGGCCAAATGTGCCTCATTTTGGTCCATTGACCAAACATGCCTGGTTTTGGTGCTCTGACCAAATGTGCCTTGTTTTGATGCATTGACCACATGTTACTGGTTTTGGTACATTGACCAAACAGTCCTAGTTTTGCTTGGTTGATCAAACATGTCTGTTTTTGGTACATTGGCCAAATGTGCCTGGTTTTGGTGCACTGACTGAATGTGCCTGATTTTGGTGCTCTGACCAAATGTGCCTGGTTTTGGTGCATTGACCAAATGTTCCAGGTTTTGATTGATTGATCAAACATGTCTGGTTTTGGTACATTGGCCAAATGTTCCTCATTTTGGTCCATTGATCAAATGTGTCTCATTTTGGTACGTTGACCAAACATGCCTGGTTTTGGTGCTCTGACCAAACCTGCCTGGTTTTGGTGCTCTGATCCAAACGTGCCTGGCTTTGATGCATTAACCAAATATTACTGATTTTGGTACATTGACCAAACATTCCTATTTTTGGTTGGTTGATCAAACATGCCTGGTTTTGATACATTGGCCAACTGTTCCTGGTTTGGGTGCACTGACTGAACGTGCCTGATTTTGGTGCTCTGACCAAACATGCCTGGTTTTGGTACAGTGGCCAAATGTACCTCATTTTGGTCTGTTGACCAAATGTGCCTGGTTTTGGTGCACTGACAGGGATGTGCTTTGTCTGTTTTCTGCAGACACCGAGACCTGTGACTACGGCTGGCACAAGTTCCAGGGGCAGTGCTACAAGTACTTTGCGCACCGGCGCACGTGGGACACGGCGGAGCGGGAATGCCGCCTGCAGGGAGCACACCTGACCAGCATCCTGTCCCACGAGGAGCAGATCTTCGTCAACCGTGCGTACCCACGGGGCTCCTCTGCCTCTCATCTCGGGTGCCACCACACCAGGGAGATGTGGAGGGGTCAGGGAGTGTCCAAAGGAGGGATGTGGAGATGGGGAAGGGTCTAGACAGGAGCTGAGGTCACTTGGATGGTACAGATAGGGGAGACTGAGGTCAGACCTCATTGTGGTGTCCAACGTCCTCTGAGGGTCATCTCTGATCTCTGCTCCCTGTGACAGGGACAGAACCTGAGGGAATGGCCTGAAGTTGTGTCAGGGCAGCATTAGGTTGGATTTTAGGGAAAGGTTCTTCCCCCAGAGGGTGGTGGGCATTGCCCAGGCTCCCCAAGGAATGGGCATAGCCCTGAGGCTCTAGTTTCTGAATAAAACTAAAGGATTTTCCTTTAATTTTGTCTGTGTGGTGTTGGAAAAAACATCTGATGATTGGTGGATTTGGTTCTGCCAAAGAGCTATTTAACAAATTTAAAACATACAGCACTTTGTTCAAGCACATTTGAGGCAGAGCCTTTGCTCCAGGAAGCAAAGACAAAGTATTTGCTGCCAGAGCTCCAGAAGCATTTAGAAAATTCTTCAGGGATGTGCAGGGTGGGATTGTTGGGGCTGCACTGATGATCCCTGCGGGTCCTATCCAGCTCAGCATATTCTGTGACTCAAAACAAGAGAGATAGCTGAGGGTTCAGAGATGGTGAGACCTCCTCCTCACCACTCAGCTTTTACATCTCCAACTTAAAACATGCTTTAAAATGTTAAATAAAAGTCATGCTTTGTGTTATGTTTACTTCTGCAGTTAATACAAGTTCTCTATTACTATTAAGTTATAATTTTTTAAATAGAAAACACTTTTTGGGGGGAGGGATGAGAACAAGAACTTTTGTTTTGGCATTTAAGCTTTTTGAAACATTTTGTTTTCTGGAGACTTAATGCATTTTGTGCATATGATATCAAGTCCATAGTTAGGCATAAAGAGATAGCTACTGTGTTGTATTGTAAAATTTAGACAACACTGGTCACAGCCTAACCAAAACTTGAAAAACTGTGAATTAGAATATGGGATTTTATTTTTTTTTATTTTCTTCCCATCATATATTCTCAGGTAGGAAATTCATTCTCTTTGCCTTGGTAGATATCACTGGGAGTGAAGAGACAGGGTCGTTTAAAACTCTTAGATGAGAATCTGCGTTTTTATACACATCCCAAATTACAACCAAAAAGCTGAAAAAGAGCCTCTAAACCAGTCTTTAGCACAAAGAGCAGAATAATCTTAAGAACAGGATGTCTGATTCATTCAGCATAAAATTATTTTCTTTGGTGAAATCTCTTCCATTTATGGGAAGGTTAATAAAAATGCCCTTCTGGTTCCCTAGGTATTGGCCATGACTACCAGTGGATTGGCCTCAATGACAAGATGTTTGAGCGTGACTTCCGCTGGACTGATGGTAGCCCATTGGTAAGATGCCTTTGAGTTTAAATCACTCATTTCTTTTTGTGGTGGCTTATCAAATTCCCACTAACTGTGAGGGAAGCTGCACTAAAAAAAAAAAAAAAAAAACAGCCAAAAAACCCCCCCCGTTGCTAAAAATGGACCCAAGAAAACAGTCAGTAAATTCATTTTGGGATACCTAATACTTTGTGGTTTCACTCTAAGGTCTTGTTCTTAGTTCCTGTTATTGTATGTGTGGGAACTCTCTAAGGTTTCAAATAGAAATACTCAAAAGTCTGAGACTGTAGTAATTTAAGGGTCTCTGCTGGAGCTGATTTGTGATCTTCTTGCCTTGCTCAAGGCCATGTGTGGCAATTCTCCTCACTCACCAGGATGCATTTTTGGGTGATGATCTGGCATTCAAGCTCTTGCCTTTGCTGAGTCTTGGGTGCACAGAGGAGCCTCACAAGTATTTTTGGAGCCTGCCTTGTGGGGCAGCTCTGCAGCAGCCATCCTTAGCTGGTTCAGGAGGCCTGTAACTCATAATTCAGCTATAAAATTTCAAGATGCTGTAGATACCTTCTGACTTAAAACAAAAAGGAAAATCAGCAGAAGGAGAGGGAAAACGAAACTAAATCAAAGAGCTGATGGACATAGGAAATGATCAAACCCTTCCCCATTTTAAATAATCTCTTCTGCAAGAGGAACAAGTGATTTATTTGCTGTTGAGCACCCACTGAAGAACATTGCATTAAGAAAAAGCCCAAACTGGTTATTATTTTCCCTTCCAGTAGGGAACTTTTAAATCAGAGAGCATCTGGACACACCTGTTGTTGTTGCAGACCATGTGGCTGCAGCTGGTGTAGAAAGACACCTGGGGCAAGGCAAGCTTCACTTATTGCCATTTCATGTAAACAACCAGAGCCTAAAAGTGCTCTGAAATGGCTTATAAATGAGGATCTCTTGGGGACATGGCTGCGTGTGGCAGGTGACAGCAAAGAGGGGTGGGAAATGCTGGGGAAGGTTTCTGTTGCCTCACTGGTGGCTCGGGGCATCTGGGGTACCATGGCTCCCATTGGTGATCCCAGACCAGTGTAAATTATTATTGTTATTATTATTGTTGTCTTATTTTACAGGTGTAAAATAAGATAAATATATATAAGATAATATATAATGCTTATATATTCCAGAAACAGAGTTGTTGTACCAGTGATTAATCACCGTGGTCTAGTGGAAGGTGTCCCTGCCCATGGTCCATCCCAATCCAAACCATTTTATGATTCTATGAATTTGAGAAATTAAAATTAGAGCTGAGATCCTGTTTTTTAAATTCAGGCCACTGACCAAATGGGCATTATATTTTTCCTGTAATTTTCAATTTTTTAAGAAATTAAGATATTCTAGGAACAGAGTGGTACCATCTGTCCAACAGATTTCTGCTTTGATTGATCTTTTTTCCCACCTTATTTTTCTTTCATTTTTTAACAACTTCCCTCTGTCTCTTCCTTCGGAAACAATTTAGGTGTCTCTTGAAATCATTTATGTTCATTGCTTCAATAGATTTTCCTCATAACTTATTCCATATGGTTTCTGGACACCATGGTTCTGAGAAGCAACTTCATTTGTTCCTTTTTCTCTGGCTTTTAACTTATTTCTCATACTTTCTAACCACTCATGTTGTTACAGTGATTTACTATTTTTCTAGTAGTTAATAGTAATGCTAACATAATAAATATATGTATCCAATCTATTTTCCTGATGATGTTCTAAAATTGCAGTGAATTTAAATACTATGCAGGTAGAAAATTTGCATCTTTTATGTGTGTGCAGGTAAGCAGATTTTGTGATGGCTTTAAACACATTAACATAATTTGTGATCATAAAAATCAGCATTATTACACCAACACTCAGGTTCTAAATTTAATGTCTAAGTTTAGAGGTGACTCTTGCCTATATTCAGAATTTAAATAGCCTTGACATGGTTTTTGTATCAGGGTGCATGTGTATTCAGCTGTTTCTAAATTTTTTTCCCAACTCTATGCACTCTCCAAAAAAATATTGTCTATCCACAATTCTATTCAACACTTCTGGCATGGGGGAAAATTTGTTAAGTGTTCTGGGAATCCCCCTGATGTCAGTTTTCTTGGAGATACGATCAGAAGAGTGATTGTGCAGCTACAAGTGGTGCACATGCATCTTTATCTTGATACTTTGAATTTTCTCCAATAACATCTTGGTCCAATCAAAAAAATCATGCTTGCATGGCTTTATGAGGTTTTATGGATTAAAAATAAACCCCTAACAGTTCTGATGCTTCGTGTACTTAAAAGAAAAAGCAAATTAACAACAACGTCAAGATGTGTTGTGGGTGACAATTTTCTCTTTGACATGAATTTTCCTTCTGAACTAAAACAAGCCCCTAGAATTGGGAATTGGGGATGCTTGAAAGACAGACTCCACTACTGGAGACACAGAAAAAGGTTTATATTACTTTGGTACTTATTTCCCACCAACACAAGAGAACCAACAGAAATATGTACTACACTGACAGCAACTCTTTTGCCAGATATTTTATTGGCAATTTGGGAAAAAGGGATAAAATACTTTTTTTTTTTTGCACCTAAAATGTTTTCCAATCAATGGGTTCAATGGAAGGAAATAATTTTTTTTTTATGTTTTCAGCCCCTGTCAGGTTGTGTTTTTCCAGATTTTTTAAACTGAGGCCAAAGAACCAGCCACCATTAAATAAGATATTTGGGCAAAGCATGTAAATGAGACTATAGAATTAAGGTTCTTAATGGGAAATTTACACTGGAGTTAAAGCAGCTTTGACAGGCTCTCAGCCCTTCTGAAAAAGACTGTTTATTGCCTAATAGTGCGCTAAGTCATCCACTTTTGATACCTTGGAATTCTTCCTTTTTCACCCCTATAGACAATATTCTCTGTTAACAATTTATCAAAGCAGCAGATTTTTTCCAGCAGCAGCAGTCAGAAAAAGATCCCCAAAACCCCTGTATTCCTGTGCACATATTTTTTGTGCTTCAGCTGGAATTTATGTTGAACTTGGAAAAATAGTGCCAATAAGCAAATTTTGGAAAAGATTAAAAGTGATCTTGTAAATTCACGCTCTGGTTCTCGGAGCTCCTGGAGGAAAATCTTGGTGTCTTGAATAATGAAGTGAATACAATCAAATTCAGTGAGAACGCAAGAAATAGTGTTTAAATCTTCTTGGCCCACATGACTTTTGTCCATATTGGCATTGAGTCTGCCTGTTTTTTGTAAAAAAAAACCAAACCAACTTTTAGGACAAGAAAAACTCTCCTAATTAAATAGAAACAGGCCCACTCCTAAATCACAGTATTGAAGGTTCTGCTCCTGAATAGAGACCTTGAGGAAGCTTTTTGATCTGCCTCACTGAAATGTCTGGTGCATCATCATCTGTGAGACTTCAGAGGGAGTTGGCAAGTTTATTCCTTAACTGCAAAGTGGTTTTAATTCAAAACTAGTTAGCAGTTTCCTGCCTTTCAGGCAAAATGGCACAATCTTGTGCAGATAAAGCCTCACCATCTGCTGGTAAAACACACATTTCCAGCTTGTTGTACCCACTGCAACCCAAACACAGACTGGGCTTGAGAGAAGCAAAATTACTTGAATAAAGTGGTTGTGTCCCACCTCTCATGCCCTTCAGTTTAATTGTCAGCTCAGGTGGCACTATGCATAAAGAAGGTCACCAGTCTATTATTACAGGATTTTGGGTTTTTTTTGGCCAAATGAATTTGCTTATAGCTGTCTCTCTCTCTTATTTATTTATTTATTTATTTATTTAGTTAGTTAGTTAGTTATTTAGTTATTTATTTATTTATTTAGTTAGTTAGTTAGTTAATTATTTAATTATTTATTTTCTTTAAAAAAAAAAACATTTGGGATCTTCTTGGCTAAGGCCAGAACTTATCTTCAAAGTGCTCCTTGGTGAAGCTTAGGGCAAATTGTCCAGTAAGCAGAATAAAATAGGCTTTAATTATAGTAAGCTGTGGGATCCAGTGGCTGCTTGCATGTATCTGCTTTTTTCTGATTTGCTGTGCTGTATCTGGGTGGCAGGGAGCAATCTTTTTTATATACATCATGTCCCTGCTCTCTCCTTTTTTTTCTTTTTTTTAAATTCCTTTTATTTATTTATTTTTCTGTTTTTGAAAGAAATAACTTTTCAGTGGTTCTCTGGTTGGGAGAGGTGGAATTCATGTTCTGGAGCTGATGAGCCACACAATAAAAAGCAATTTTTTGGGCAAAAGAACAACAACACCTTTTTTTATATGAAGGGGAAGGAGCTGTTGGCAGCTGTGTTAGTGCAGCACAAAAAGTGGGAGTCCTTTCAGAAAACCCAAATCCTCACATGTGGGGCAAGGTCAGTGAGAGCTGGGGCCACTGCCACAGGGCTGGGGCTGGGAGCATCACCTGAGGCTGTGTGGACCAGCAGGAAGCTGCAAACTTCAGCAAATCTGCCTGGTCCCTGATTTCAGATGATTTGTCCCAAAAGTGAAGGTGGTGAGAGCAGCCCCTGAGGTGTGTTCAGAGAACTTGCAGCACCCCAGCTCTTTTAGAGCTTTGTTTGTCATTACTTCCTGAAAATCAAGTCAGTTTGTGCTCAGGACGTTTCAGGTATGATTACATTGATAGGTTCAAGAGGCAGGAGAGAATAATATAGTGTTTTTAAGAGCATGTTTTGCTAGCTCTGCATTTCTTCTGTTCAGGGTAGTTGTAGGGCTGTTCTGTTGGCTTTGGTGTGGGACAACATTATTTTCCCCCTGATGTGCAATGAAAATGGCTATATGTAGTCTCTATTTACATTTAGAAAAATACAGCATCTAAATTGTTCTTGCACTTTACTGCAGACTTTTCTCCCAGCATTTCTGCAACAGTGAACAAAACTTCTAAGTATGTATCAAGGACAATCTGCATCCCACAATTATCTGTAAGGCTCTGAGCAGTGAAAAAAAACACATTTGGGAAGAAAAGCCCAGTGTTGCAGG